CGCAGCCGCGTCTCAATTTGAATGATCACGATTCATAAGAACGCGAGTCTAGCTTCCACTACCCCCCCACCTCCAGAGGGCTGGGGTGGGAGGTAGGGGGGAATTCTGAGAGTTGAAGTCCACCCATCTTAGAGTTGCTAAGTTGAGAAACGCTGATATATGGGGTGATTACTGCAATGGGGCTGCCCTGATTGTTGGGCATGCTCTGTATTTTAATGGATTCAATATGTTGCAAACCACCCAAAGCTGGCATAAAGTTGGTGGCCAACAGATCAACTTTTTCATCATGGACGGATTATATTTTTTTCATTCTTTGTTAGATGTATATCTTTCATTCCTTTCAAGAATTCAACACATAGCATTCTTTCTTCCAGTTTTCCCCAACCATGAGCTTGGCAAGGTAGGTTAGGCTGAGAGAGAGGGATCGGCCCACAGTCGCCCACTGCATTTCCAGGCTGAAAATGGATTTCACTTCCAAGGCCAAATAAACTTAGTTTGTAAATTAGGGAAAGATACAACTGTTGAAAGCTGGTTCTAGGAGGCATCGGGTGGTCCCCAAATGGGGATGTTAAGAAAAACGGATGCCTTTTTTTCCCAGGCGAGTTGAAACCAAGTAGAAAATGAAAAATGCCGAGTTGAAAAGAGTAGAAAATGAAAGATATGGAGAAAACCAGAGTGGGAGGTTTGTTCCGGCTCAGTGAATTTTCATCCTAGGCTCTCTCTGCTTCATTTTCTAGCATCTTCCCAGAGGGTTCAGTCTACAAACATCTCGAAAAGAGGCAAGGCGTTGCAAACCACTGCTTTATGGTTGCCAGGTGTCAAACTTGATTCAAAGGCAAAGAGAGCAAGAGAGAGAGAGAGAGAGAGAAAGTCCTGGTGAAGTTTTCTGGCAGGCTCATATTCCAAATTCCTCTTTCTTTCTGAAGATAACCGCAACTCGGGCCCTCCCCTCGTCTTATCTTTTTCCTCTTTCCTCAACAAAAGCATTTTTTTTTAAAGTGAGATTTCAAGACCGACGGATCCTCTGTTCCACTCGAGAGGAGAGCAATAATAGTAACAACAGCAACATTTTCTTCTGACAAGGCTCCATCTGTAACCCATCATTAAAAAAGGGGAGGCGTGGGGACTGAAAAAAAACACCCCACCAAGCGTGCATAACTACTCTTAAGTGATTGCACAGGATGTGAGCGCTGGCCGATGCCAAGGTGAATAAAGTAAATGGAGGCTACGTGCAGGGATGGTCAAAAGAGTCAAGATGGCAGCCACGATGGTGTAGTCGAAGCTCTGATCATGTTGATGCTTAGTAGAACCCCTTGGTTGTCTGTATGCCTGCAGCCATCCTGCCCCCACTGAAAGGTCTGTCTGCCTTCAGGACTGTCCTTGGAGGAATCCAAAAAGTCAAGATGTGGACTACCAAAGCCCCAACCCCTTTTTTCACCAGTTCTAGACATGTTAAAAAGGGGACAAGGCTTTGATCACACATTTCTGGCCACCATCTTGACCTTTTTGACCTCCCACGGATATCTTCGAGAGGCAGCCTTGCCAGCTGACTGAGAAGCCTGAGGCTGAGTGAAGAAGCGAAGAGATGGTTTTGCAAAGAGAAGCCCACCTTTATTTTCCATTCCCGAAGGATGCGCAATGTGGTCAGCCCACGTTCGAAGACAGAAACCAAGATGTGATGAACTCATCGCGCTCAGCAAGGATCAAAACCAGCTGGGGTTCCTCAACCAGCAGTCAGCTTGACTCAGTTCAGAATCAATTTGATAATTACATGCTTTTTGAAACAAAACCAGTCCCCGGCGCTCAAGTTCTGCTCGGATCTGAACCGTCTCGATAATTACAGCTTCCTTGGCCAACGTACAATTTGGCTGAATTCAGATGTACCCTTTCTTGCCAACCGTCGGCACAGCTCAATTCAGAATCGCCTTGTAATTATGAGCTTCCTCGACAAGCCCTGGGTTCAGCTCGAAATGCGCTTGGTGACTTCAAGGTTACTTGCCGAGCATTTGGGCAAGTTCATACATTTTTAGAGGCGTTGCTGTCACGCACAGAATCACAGAACCGCAGCGCTGGAAATCTCCAAGATCATCTAGTCCAGCCCTCTGCAGCGTTCAGGAGAGGTCACTCTCCAGCCTCTTCTGAAAAGCCTCCAGAGATGGAGAACCCACCACGTCCGTAGAAGTGGACAGATCTTGCCTTCAGGAAGTTCTTCCTTATATTTAAACACAATCTTGGTCGCTGCAGCTTGTTATCTGGTATTTCTGCTCCTGGTTTCTGTGTCCATGGAAAACAGTTTCTGACCCTCTTCCTCGCAGCTTCCCTTTATGGACCTGAACCTGGCTATCCTGTTCCCCCTAAGCCTTCTTTTCCCCAGGATGAGCATCCCATGTTCCTTCACCAGAAGGGGGTCCTCAAGTCCCTGCACCTGCATTATTAATGGCTGAGCGCTAAGGGGCATTTGCTTTGCATCTGAGAAACTCCCTAGACGCTGCAGCTTTGTTTCCTATAACCATTAGGGAATTCAACCATTATCTCCTGCCAAGACTTATATGGACACTAAGGGGAATTGGGACCTATCTCAATGTTTTTCAAACTTGGCCACTCTGAGATGTGTGGACTTCAACTCCCAGAATTCCCCAGCCAGCCATGCTGGCTGGGGAATTCT